AATAGAATAGAATAGAATAGAATAGAATAGAATAGAATAGAATAGAACAGAACAGAATAGAACAGAATATAGAAAATATTACCTCAATGATATAATTTATTTTAAGCAAGGGGGGAGGGGCAGAAATCAGATACAGCGCTTGAGTCTGACTCTAGATTCCTCTGCAGAATAAAGTGGGCTTCACAGGCTTTTCATTGTTTCAGTTAAGGGTCCATCATGCTGCATAAATCTGATAAACCAGTCAATACTAGATGAAAAGAGGGCTTTGTTATCTAAAATTATGCCAAGACAATTTGGGTCAAACTACTCTTCCCTAGTCAGGAACTCCAAAGAGAATTCATCGCCAAGACTTGAGGGAGCCAGGAGCAAGGAGAGCTGGCATAACTGTAGGGCTTCTGATGTAGAGAAGTCTGGCCTCTTTTCTCCTGGTATAAGGACACCAGGAAAGAGTGGAGAGAGTGAGCATCTGTGTATTCCCCAAACTGGTAGTCCCCAACTTCATTAGCATGGCTGTGTGGTGATAGGTACCAAGTAGGGAATTATAAGCAGGTTAATGGTTGACTGTGATGATCCTGTGATGATAGTTTAACAGTCCTTTGGTTATGGTTCATTGGTTTCCTATGAAAACCCAGATACTGGACTAAATAAGGATCCAAAATGTTCTTTATCTACAATCCATACAAAATAAATATAATTCTGTGGTTCATTATCCATGGGGTGCTGAAAAAAAAACCCTTCACTCATCCCCCATCCAGGCAAACTTTCAGAGCCAACAAACTGTACGTTAGGCCACAATTCTTCTAGTCAGTTATTAGAGTGCAAAAGCCAGTTTGGTCTAGAGCAGGGGTTTCATACTCAAGGTCCCGGGGGCCCCATTTTCAGCCTGGATGGCCTCCTGCAGCATTTTTCCAGCCAAAATGGGGCACGGTCTTCTCATGCTCCGTTTTGCCTGGAAAAGTGCTGCAGGAGGCATCTGTCCCATCTCCTTCCCCCTGGCCCTGATCCAGCCCTTGAAGAAATCCACTTTGACAACCCTGGTCTAGAGGTTAAGGCCCCAGACTAGAAACTGGGAGGTGGTGAATTCTAGTCCTATCTGAGGCACAAAGCCTGCTGGGAGACCTCGAGCCAATCACTTTCTCTCCGCTTTAGGCAAAGCTTCTGAAAACTTGCCAAGAAAACTATAAGGACCAGTTCAGAGAGTCTCCAAGAGTCAAAACTAAATTGAAAACACAAAAATAAATACATAAATAAAAATTAAAATGAGAGTGTACAGAGCACAAGGAAGGAAGGAAGGAAGGAAGGAAATTACAATAGTAAGAGATTTCTCTAATTTATTAGCACTTTATTTTCTGCTAAATAGATCGAACTAAAAAGGAGCTTGGAGGTCACTTCATCTAAACCTCTGTTCAAAAGAAAATCTATGACAGGGGTGTCAAACTCAAGGCCCGTGGGCCACATCCGGCCCACAGAGTGCTTAGATCTGGCCTGCGGGGCTGCCCTGGAAACAATGAAGGACCAACCCGCAGTGACTCTGCCAGCATATTGCCCTCCCAACTTCTGTTTTTGGATGCGATGGCCTCCTGCAGCCCTCTGCCAGTGAAAACAGAACTAGGGAGGACCATGAGCAGCCCTCCCAAGCTCCTTTTTCACTGGCAGAGCGCTTGGGCCACCACAGGTGCCCCCAACATGAGTGATGTCAAGCTGGCCATTCCACCCCTGGCCATGCCCCCACCCCAGGTCCCCCGAGGTGAAACACAACCCTCAATGAAATCAAGTTTGACACCCCTGATCTATGATAATAGATGTATTTACAACATTCTTGTGAGATGGCCAACCAATGACTACTGAAAATATCTCCACCAAAGAAGAGACCTTTATTTCTTGTAACATGCACTGTTGAATAATGCTAACATTTAGAAAGCACCTCCTAATATTAGCCAATCTGTGCTCTCCTGAGATTTTTATTCTTGGGGTCCAAATCTCTGGAGCAACAGGAACATATTTACTCCCTCAACTAGTCTTCAGACATTGGAAGATAGTAATCCGGTCATCAGCTGATCAGTAGCAAATGTGTCCAAAAATATTCTAGTGGACTGCTGCTCATTGCCAATTAAAGAGAAGTCCAGTTCGAACCAGTATCGCATCTTATTCTGACAGTGGGCTTGAATCATGTCATCTCCCACAAAATGGATAGGACTTCAAAGTACTCAACTCCAATTAAATCAAATTCTTTATGCTAATAAAAAGTATCCTGCTTGTAATAAAGGTAGAGGACTCTAACTGGTATCGGCATAAATTCACCGTAGAATTTCTTCAGTTGTTTTGCTTGTTCTTAACAACAACAGTGTCTTTTTGGCAAGCAGCTTTATTTTGTTTTAATGCCACTGTAAATGCTCACAAAGGCTTTATGATTGATGGCCTTGGCAGCTTTGGGTTCTGTTTTAGTCACAGAAAAAGAAATAGTAGCTTTCTTCACCACACCCCAGCTCAGGATATCACAATGAGCCTTGTTGCTGTCTGCAAGTATGAGATACACAACAGAATGACCACTGTCTTTGACTCTTGTTTATTATCTCAAAATAGAAATCAGTGTAAGATTCCCTTGCATCATTCTAAAGCCACTTTTTTTAAAAAAAAAAAATCCAGTCTATCCCAGCTTTTGATTGTTTGATCATGATTTATTTGATCATATTTCATTAATTCTCTTATCAAAAGCCATGTATTAAATGCCCATATATTCTCTTGTTATAATAATATAATGGAACCATGGACTTTTATGTTTTAAACCAGTCATTCCTCAGCTTCATGGTGTTCAGCTGTATCAAATAAAATTCTATCATCCATTCCCGTGCTTGCTGGAAATTCTGAGGACTGCAGTCCCAGCAACTCTGGTTGTTGTTCTAGTAAGGTTGGTCTTGAATAATTGTGATCTCCATATATAGTCTTGTTACTGCTCTTTTAATTATATATTTATTGTATTTCAGTATTAAAAAAAATCCAAAAAGTACAAAAAGAATAGAAAACCTGAAACAATTCAGCTTAGTTTTTAAATAAACCGTTAAACTTGGCCACAGGGAATTCAGTGGTCCTCCTGCTACATCCACAAAGAACCAGCTCATAAATAGACAGAACAATATATATTTAACCCAAGACTGGCAATCTGGAGTATCTCTTCCTCATGACACTGGTAAGAAATGTGCTATGCTGCCTGCCATTTTCAAGGGTATGAGCCACATGGTGCAAAACGAAGAAATCTCTGGGGATCCCCAATAGTCATGTCCCCACAAGTTTCATGCTGGCCAGTTCATGCTGCCACCCTCCCTCTCTGCTGTGAGGGGTTCATTGCTGTGTTTTCTTATCAAATGTGGTTCCTTTACTTGTTTCCTCAATTGGGAGTAGGGTTTCTCTATACATGCATAAAAATGGAAATTTTCCTAGGAAGAATTTCAACCATACCTGACAAAAACATCTGCACAATTGGCCCATTTCTATTTCACAATGTGCAAGAGGTATTTTTAAGATATAAAAATATCTTATAAAATGTTTGTTTATTTCAGGAACTGGGCCACTGAACTGCCAGGGGGAGGAGGGGGAAGCTAGGAGGCGATAACAACACTCTAAGCTTAAGGAAAACTATCCAGCATCCCTTTTTCATAGGTCTCCTCCCCTTATTGTTTGAAGCTTCCTTGTCAGGCTTTGCCTCTTCCTCTGCTTGTCCACTTTCCTCTGGATGAGAGTTGGTTCCCGCAGGGCTGTGTCCCTTTTAAGAATCCCGTTTAGTTTAAATTTTCAAAGGATCTCTAAGATAGGAGAGCAGTTTTCTTTTGTGGTTAAGAAACCATCGGCTTTTAATTTCCTGTGTAGTAGTAAATATTTGTTAGTTACTTTTCTTCCGGTGTCCCTTTGACACATAGGAAGTTTTTCATGGTTTGCTAACAGACTGCACCATATGCTAGGATGCCCACAAAGAACAACCTGTTTTCAACTCTTAAAGCAAAACGGTGTCCTATTTGATCATAAACTACTTTTAGCCTCTGAGAAGCAATATGTAAACATTTTTGATAAATAATCATCATTGTCACTGAATCTAGAAGATGTGACCTACTCTTTGTGCAATACAGCTCAAGTTCTACTTTTAATTCTCCTCCTCTCATGCGGCAGACTTTTTTTTTGCAGTCATTCATTGTCTGAAGGAAATATTCTAAATGAATTGGCCAACTTTATATCACCAATCACTACAATGAAACTGAGACATTTGGGAAAAGTGATAGATGATAGATAGATAGATAGATAGATAGATAGATAGATAGATAG